ATATATATATATATATATACACACACACATACTAGGATGGCCCTCACTTCCACCACTGCCGTATACTGTTGCCTGTCTGCCATGTGCCACTCTGTCTTGGAGCCAGACAATTACAGACTGAAACCTCTACAAACTATGAGCTAAATAAACCTTTCCTCCTTTAAAAAAAATGCTAGGATGGCTTTAAAAAGCAAAAATAAAAAGTTAAGTATTGGTGAGGATGTAAAGAAAGTGGGACCCTTAAGCAAATACTTACAGCTGGGCATGGGAGAGCATGCCTGTAATCTCAGCTACGTGACAGACTGAGGCAGGAAGACTGCAAGTTTTAAACCAGCGCAGACAACTTAGACTCTGTCTCAAAATGAAATAAAAAGGGCTTGGAATGTACCTCAGTGGTAAAGCACTTGCCTAGTATGTGCAAGACTCTGGGTTCATTCCTCAGTACTGTCCACAAAAAAAAAAAAATTGCACACAAATGTTTATAGCAGGCCGGGCATGGTGGCACACACCTGTAATTTCAACACTCGGGAGGCTGAGGCAGGAAGATCATTGCTAGTTCTGAGGCCAGCCTGGGCTACAAAGTGAGTTCAAGACAGTCTGAATTGCATAGCTAGACCTTGTCTCAAAAAGACAAAAAAAGACGAAAAAGAAGAAAAAAATCACAAGAAATATACTAGCTGCAAAAAGGACAAATATTGTATGATTCCTCTTATAGAAGAATTCATAGAGATAAAATAGATTGGGGATTACCAAGGGCTAATGGGAGGAGCATTATTGTTTAATGGGCATAGAGATTCTGTTTGCAATAAAGAAAAACTCTGGAAATACATAATGATGATAGTTGTATGACATTGTAAAACTGCTGATCTCTAAATGGTGCAGCTTATACCCCTTTATGCCTGTTGGGCCGACGGTAATTAATAGACTCTCAAAACTGTCTCCTTTTTGATAATAAATTATATGGTAACTCAGTCTCTATAAACATTCTGATTTTCAGTGGTTAGGAGATACTAACCGCGGGCATTAGGACCTTGGGAAGGTTTTGTTCATGACATCATCTCTAGGAAACTAAAACCCCAGGGAATTGGGAGGCAGGGATGGAGAGGTGTGCACTTCACAAATGCCCAGCTCTCAAATGAGGATCATTTTAGTGGCAAACCACCTGTTTCCTTTGGGTCCCGGGACACTGTGACTAAGGAGGAACTCCAGCTGAGCCCCGCTGGGAGGGAGTCTGCCATTGCAGAAAGAGAGAGCTGCCCCACCCTCCTCTGTCCGCCACACTCAGCATGGCCGCCCGCACCAAATGGAGGTGAAAGCCCGCAGCCCAGAAGGGGCGGGCCCAGGCAACCAAACAAACCTCAGGGGGCCAATGGAGAAGGACAGGGGCGGAGCTAATGTGGCATCGGCCAAAGGGAGGTGGGCTTGGTTCGTGCAGCCTGGTCTTTCCGGGCTTCGGCTGCCACGTTATAGTCAGGTTTTGCAGCTGGATTTTGCCCGGTGTTGTGCCACCGTCAGCGCTTCCGGGTTGAACTTCGCCTGAGTTTATTGTCTCCTCTCTATACAGTGTCTGTCCCTCCCCTTCAAAACCAGCCCTGGTCAAAGTCCTGCTGGCTCCTCCTTTGCAATGACTCATCTCTATATTCCAGTTTAGAGATAAATTGGCGATACCACGTGTGGCCTGACATATTTGAATTTAATTTTTTTATGAAAACCATAATGGAAATAAAAATTATACCATCAGCTGGAAACAATCATGGTTAATCTTTGACATTCTACCCCCCCTCCTTCTGGTGTATCTATTTTTTTTTTTCTTTGTGAGACAGGGTTTCACTATGCATTTCAGGCTGGCCTTGCATTCACTTTGTAGTCCTGGCTGGCCTCGAACTCACAACAGTCCTCCTGCCTCAGCCTCCTGAGCACTGGGATTACAGGCGTGCACCACCACGCCCGGCTTCCGTGCATGTATTTGATTGCATACTGTTTTCCCTTTGTCATTTTAATTGAATGAATAGGATAAAGTATTCCACTTATAAATGTGTCATAACTTTTATATTCGCCCATTGAGCATCTAGATATGAACTAGTTATGGATTGGAGTTGGAGGGCAGGTAGGAAAACAGATTCTGCTAGGAGTTATTTCACAAGAATTACAGACTGGGGGTGGTGGAGCATGCCTGTAATCCCCGGACTCAGGAGGCAAAGGAAGGAGGATCATCATGTGTTCCAGGCCAGCCTGGGCTACATAGTAAATTAAAGGTCAGCCTGAACTACATAGCAAGACCCTGTTTCAAAAAAACAACATGAGCCTGGCATGGTGGTGCACCATGAGGTCATAGACGCATATAAGAGAGACGGTGAAGAGAACCACTCACCAGGCAGCTAGGTTCGCAACGCAGACAAGACTCTTTGTGGAAGCCCCACCTTTGTGTGCACAGGTTACCATTTATGGTAACCTGTAATCCCAGCACTCTGGAAGGCTGAGGCAGGAGGATCGTTGCAAGTTGGAGACCAGCCTGGGCTACAAAGTGAGCTCAAGGCCAGACTGAACTGCATAGTGAGACCCTGTCTCAAACAAACAAACAAACAAAAAAAAACCAATACGAGCCAGACATGGTGGTGCACACCTGTAATCCCAGCACTCAGGAGGCTGAGGCAAGTTGGAGACCAGCCTGGGCTACAAAGTGAGCTCAAGGCCAGCCTGAACTACATAGCGAGACCTTGTCCCCCCCCCCCCCAAAAATCACAATCCTGCTTCAGCCTCCCCAGTGCTGGTGTTACAAGAGTATGCCACTATGCTGGCTCTGCAGTGAGTTTTTAATAAACAAGGAAATAAGTAATGTCATAAAATACTAGGAAGCAAATTTCCCATAAAACTGTATACAGATTAAATTAAAATTATTTTGAAAAGACATGGAGAAGAGCCTGAAGTGTCACTGTGCCTGTAGGAGCTTTCAGGAGGCTGACGCATAGAGGATTGATTGGTTCAGCCCATGTGTTCCACACCAGCCTGGGTAAATAGGGAGAGCTCATCCCAAAAAATCAAATAAAGAAGATATGAGGAAAGCTAAGTATAATGAAATGTTAACATTATAGCTTATAATGTTAGTGGTTGTCTTTAGGTGGCATAGTTTGTTTTTACTTTTCTGTATTCTCCAAATGTTTTACAGTTGAATCCTTCACACACACACACACACACACACACACACACACACACATACACACACTACATCTTTTGTATTACTGGAGATTGAACCCAGGGCCTCATGCATGCTAGGCAAGTGCTGTACCAATGAGTTATGTTCTTTTTTTCTTTAAATTTTGAGACAAGGTCTTGCTAAGTTACTCAGGTTGACCTCATAAATCTAATCCTCTTGCCTCAGTTGCCAGAGTAGTTGGAATCATAAGTGTGCACCTTCATGCCCAGCTGACACCCTTTCTTTAGAAAGAAAAAAAAAGGTTGGTAGGGCCTAAACAAGAGTAGCTGATAACAATCAGCTCTATTTTGATTAGCAAATGTTGGAGGCAATGGTTTAGTATTCTTTAGGAAAACCACTGTTCTGCCCCAGAGATTTCATGGTGTCTATGATGTGTAAGTCTGTAAAGATGTTGTAAGAAACACTTGAATCAGACAAGGATCCTAAAATCAAGAAACATGGCCCAGTAGTCTGGCAAAAACATATCTTCAAATAATGATAAAACAAATTATAAAATCCCTAAGGGAGGCACAAGAAAATGTAGTGAAGAGAACGTTGGCAGTGTGGTAGGAGCAATGGGTACAAAATAGAAGTAAACTGGAGCTAGATCATGACATCTAGGAATGCCAAGGTAAGAATTGTATTTTTGTTTGTTTGTTTGTTTGCTTTGTTTTGTCTTTTTGAGACAGGTTCTCACTATGCAGTTCAGGCTGGCCTTGAGCTCACTTTGTAGCTCAGGCTGGTCTCGAACTCGAAACGGTTCTCCTGCCTCAGCCTCCGAAGTGCTAGGATTACAGGTGTGAGCCACCACACCTGGTTTAAGAAGTGTATTGTTAAATTGGAATCTATAAGTAGCTATTGAAGGGAGCTTGTTTTGCTTTTTAAATCATTATCTCCATGATATATGCTTTAGGAAAATTGTTTTTGAAAACAAACTAGAATAGGAATGAGACTGAAAACTGGTGGATCAATTAGAAGGCCTGCCAAGCGTGGTGGCACTTGCCTGTAATCTCATAACTTATGAGGCTGAGGCAAGAGGGTTCCCATGAGCTAGAGGCCAGCCTGGGCTACACAGTAAGCTCAAGTAGAGCCTGAACTACATAGTGAGATCCTGTCTCAAAAAAAAAAAAGAATTAAGAGAGTCTACACAATAGTTCAGGTGAGAGATGATAAGGGGAACCATGGGCAGTTTATGTAAAGAGGAAGAAGTGTTCAAATAAAAAAATAGATCAGATTGTAGATGCTGAAGGTCATAAATTCCTGTCTCAATAGGTCCAAGCATTATGATCACCTGAGGAATGTATTTCAAAAATTGCCTCCACGTTGTGATTTTTAAAAACTCGCACCCATTTCTTGGGTCGGTAGACAGGAAAATTACACTAGAGGCTATGAGTGGTTTGCTACATATAGTGGAATTATGGTTTTTCTGTTTTCCAGTATGTATGCGCCATCTGGGCCTTTGAGGAGCAGAAATACAAAGGATTCTTCCTGTTCTCTAAAGAAAAATTTCTTACTTTGAGTAATGTGTAAACTACAACAGGTGGTTTAGTGTGGATCAACATGAAAAAGATTGGAAGAAGGTCCAGGAGTATAGTCAGTCTCTCGGGGGATCCAGACACCCCAGTGTCCCTTCACTGGAGGAGCTCTGTGCAGCAGGGACTCTTCTCCTATCTTTGTGCTGGAGGCTGAGCTGGATCAACCAGAACACAAAGGTGGGGCTTCTACAAAGAGTCTTGTCTGTGTTGCGAACCTAGCTGCCTGGTGAGTGGTTCTCTTCACCGTCTCTCTTATAAGCGTCTATGACCTCATTACCTACTTGAGCTGCCTCTTGCAGCCTCTTTCATCATCCTTCAGCTCTCTCTCCAGGGTTAGGTTATCACAACTCACTCTGCCCAGCCCTGTACAAGCAGAAAATCCTGGCAGAGACTGAGGATCCGGGACAATGTCTTTCCAACTTTTCCTGGGTAGTTAACCCTCTTCAACCTCTGGGCTTTTATATATTTTTTCCTTTTAAGTGTGATTTTCTTTGTAACAAGGCATATCAAAAAAATAGAAGCAGGAAAGTCCTCCTGAAGCTAACATAGTTTTTAGTTTGTGGTAGCTTTATTTATATATTTTCATGTAAGCCATATAAGGGCTTTTTGGCACCACTGGGATGCTTTTTATTAAGGTGACCATAGAATTATGACTGTAAAGGAACTTTAACCTGAGATCAAACATAGTCTTCTAAATGGCTTCCCTTTATTCTCTTGTTCCCTAAGGCTTTCTCTGATGTAGCTATGCTGAAGACTGGGGCAGTTTTATGTTTTAAAAGCTTTTAAAAGTTAGCTTGTAAAAATAAATCTGGAAAGGTCAAGCACCTCCACAGTTTTTTTTTTTTTTTTTTGCCTCCACATTTATTTTATTTTATTTATTTATTTTTTGGTCTTTTTTGAGATAGGTCTTGCTATGCAGTTCAGGATGGCTTTGAGCTCACTTTGTAGCTCAGGCTGGCCTCAAACTCGCAGTGATCCCCTTGCCTCAGCCTCCTGAGTGCTGGGATTACAGGCATGCACTACCACGCCCAGCTCATTTTTTTATTTTAAAGAGAATGAAAAAATTTTTAAAAATATTAAAAATGATGAAGAATTTTTTTTTTCTGGTACCAGGAATCAAACTCATGACCTCACACTTGCCAGGCGGGTGCTGTGCCACTGAGCTAAATCCCCAGCCCCAATACAGAATTTCAAAACAAGATGATAGGAAATTAACAATGGTTATTATATTGCATATTGTTATCTTCCAAGTAGTTGTTCAGATTACCAGATATAGGCATGCAAAATTGATAAAAAAAAATTAAGCCTGAACTGTTCCTTTCAATAAACCAATAGAAATCACTAGTACAGCTGGGCATTGTGGTGCATACCTGTAATCCCAGCACTTGGGAGGCTGAGGCAGGAGGATCTTTGCCAGTTGGAGACCAGCCTGGGCTACAAAGTGAGCTCAAGGCCAGCCTGAACTACACAGCAAGACCCTGTCTCAAAAAGACAAAAAAAAAAAAAAATTTTAAAAAAGAAATTAGTAGTACATTTACCTTAGCTATCACATATATATACATATATATGTATATATATGTATTCCCCTTCCTTCTTTCTTTCTTTTCTCCTTTCCCTCATCCCAGTTGTTCTTTCCTTCCTCCACATTTTTTGAGTATATATGTGATGCAAGATCTTACAAAAAGTCTAAAATGCACAGTTATATTATCTAAGAACTTTTTTTGAAACAGAATTAGGAGCTTCTTAATGTTCACAGATTCATTATGTTATTTAACATTTTTTTTTTTGCCTCCTTATGGTGTATGGCCTATG